GACAACAAATTCCTTATTATCTAAAATGATTTTAAAGTTTTGAAATGAACCATATTGCACAACCTTTCAGACTCCTGATTATATGACTGCACTGGAGATGACAACAAAGCAGGCTGGGATGCAGCTAATAATGGTCATCATTCCAAATAAGACTGTGAGTAAATCAAATTTTGATACAATTGTATCTGCATTAATTTGGTTATAAATGGTTTTTCTTGTTGCTTCAGCTGTAAGTGGTTCTCTTGATTTAATTTTCATAGACTGATGATGATAGAGAATTGGGTTTGCAGTGACATAGATTGTTTATTAATTAACTATTATGAGTGCAGTGAATCTTAGTCTTTTTCTGAACTTTTTGCAGGATTGAACTAATGTTTTTTTCTGATCAGTACAGATTTTTATGGATCTGGATTATCAATTCTTGAAACCAAAAATTTCGTTTCTGCGTATTTGCACAATTTCATATTTAAGCTTGATTCGCCATTTAGAAAAGTTCTTTGATTAGTTCTAAATAGTTGACACTCAAGATTTGTGAATTTTGAATTATTTTTGCCTGAAGTTTATGAATCTGCATACTTCTTATTTTAAGCTTTGATTACGATCTCAGTCCTAATCTGTCTAGCTTCACACACGTTTTTCTTTTGTAGAGTTCTGATCTGTACTCGCTGATCAAGAAGAAGTGCTGTGTAAACTCTCCAGTTCCATCGCAGGTAAACTTATCAGATTTAAACTAAATTAAGATTTTTTTATAAATATTTGTTAAACCACAATAAGCTTTCATAATATGTGTTAGGTGGTTACAGCTCCGCTTCTCAAGAAGGAGAAAGGTCTGCAGAGTGTTGCAACGAAGATAGCTCTACAGATGAACGTTAAGCTTGGAGGAGAGCTCTGGTCGGTGAAGATCCCGCTGCAGAACACAATGGTGGTCGGGTATGATAATATTCTATATATTAATTTAAGCCGGAAGCTGTGATACAACCCTCTTTCAAAAGATAAAATTTTAGATTGACCTAACACTAAAGGAACTGGGAAATTCAAATTAAATACAGGACTGTTGTAAATTAAAGTGACTCTCCGGCCTTCATGTCTAATTGACTATGGTACCATTAAATCTTTATCTCTGAAAATGGAATACTTCGAATTATAGTTTCTCTCTATGAAAGTAACTCGCGGAGAGATAAAGTTTAACATAGGATGGATACTTTTTGAGTTAGATTACTTACGATATCTTGATCAGTTCATGCTTAGTAATTAATCAAGCAAAAATAAAAGTACGATAACATATTTGTAAAGTGTAAAAATGTACGATCACCTCGTATTAAATAAAAAAAATTGGACCTGATCGGTTTAACTGTTATGACTTATTGGATACGAACAGACAGACAAGCAAAGTACAGATGCAGATGCACTAATATTAATTAGGTTTGACACCTACCACGACTCCCAGATGGCCGGAAAATCAGTTGGAGCGTTGGTTGCCTCTACCAACCAAACCTTCACACAGGTTATATATTTGCTTTTATTGCCAAATAGAGGAAGGAAAAGTCTTATTTCGATCTTATTAAAATTTTCTAATTTATTCTTGTAAAATTACCATTTTATAGTTCTTTTCAACCACCGAAATACACTCGACAGTTGGGGCTGAGGAGATCTCAAGTAAGTTTTTTTCATTGTATTTATACATCTTAGCTTGATCCAGATTGGGCCTTTTTTTGTCTAATATAGGGGGGGGGGAGCACGGCAGAAAAATAATGATAAATGCTCATTCTTACTCAAGATAGATATCAATAAGTTATATTGGTTTCTACGCCAATTTTTAAAAGCTTTTAAAAAAGACCATCCTGAAAGGTGAACAACGGCCAAACAAATTTACTAAATATGCTCTAAACTTAGAAGTAAGGAAGTGATAGGGTTAAATATATTATACAAACTTTAATAGTTCTATTTGATTTGACTCGAGGCTACAAAATCTTTGGAAAAATAGCTGAAGTTAATTTATTTTCTTTACATAGTTTCTCTCATTTTAGTGAAGATCTGCACCATGTTTCGGACGGCTCTGGCCTGCTTCAAGGAGAAGAATGGAAAGTTTCCTCAGCGAATCTTCTTCTACAGGTAAATGGCGGTCAACTCGCAGTTAATTTTTATTTGTACCCTAGATAAAAAATAATATCCGCCATTTAAATGGAGTTCCAACTTTTTCCATTATCACTGAAATATTGTTATGACACCTAATTTGATACTAATAGTATGCCAGTCTGGTCAACTTTTGTAACTAAAGGTGCTGTTGTGTAATGCAGGGAAATGGAAAATAATTACTTTTATTAGGGATGGAGTTGGAGAGTCTCAGATCCCGGTTGTCCATGCTCACGAGGTCAAGCAGATCCTAAAGGTTATATCAGAAGTCAGTCCTGGAACTATGCTGACGTTCATCATTGTGAGCAAGCGTATTCAGACCAGGTAGCAACTACAATCATCCTTATATGATAGATTCGGACCCTTTTAAATTTAGCTTCATCCATCTAGAGGGTTTTTAAGATAACTAGAATATCAACTAAAAAACGTTAAGCGGAACCAATCATTTTCTCTCGTTTCTATTCCAAACCATTAAAGAATTATGTACGTTTGATGTATGTACTAATAGGTTCTTCCGTGGAACTACCAACCCAGCCTCAGGAACAGTTATTGACGATGTTGTTACATTGCCTGAGAGATACGACTTCTACCTCGTCTCTCAGTCAGTTCGACAGGTAGGAGAGTAAATATGTTTAATAAGTACTGTCTTGTCCTGGATATTAGTATGATTTGATAGATTTAGAACTTGGTGACAGTGCATCATATCCACACATTTTTAATCGATTATGTGTGACCATCCTAATGTTATTATTTGATCATAGGCACTGTTCGTGTACCTGCCCCAGTGCAGTATGCCCACAAGCTGGCCTACCTAGTAGGAACCAGTATCCATCAGGCGCCGGCCGAGAAGCTCAACAAGCTGTTGTACTATCTGTAAAATGTTGTAGTAGTTCTGATCCTTGGATCAAACTTAGATACGATATTTCGGATTAAGTATCTGAATGTTCTTTGCTATCTATGCGGTATTTTTTGTTTTTTTTTTTCTCTATGTGGTCATGTTTTTTGTATTGTTTTTTTCGTTGCGGTCAGGTTTTTTTTGTTTTTTTGCAACCAAATCCAGTGAATCATGTATTCTGTTAAATTAATAAAGTATGAACACTTCCAGTTTGGTAAATTCTTTTTTATTTTTAAGGGTATTTTGCTTTTCTCGTATATCTGGATTTCTTTTACTACGTTCTGTTGGAAAGCAGTGCGTACTGCGCACCAATTTCATGATCCGTAGCCGTGTCCCCTTGAACGGATTTCGACGAACTTGGGGAAGTTTTGATAAATTTTATGTTTCAGCTATCCTTAAGTCACAATTTAGCCGGTTCCAAAACTAGACATCAAATTAAAAGGCTTCATTTCGCAACTTAAGAGTTTCAAATCTAAACTTTAAACCCAAGTTATGAAAACCCTCCTGTAATACACAGGCACATTTTGACGTATTGTGCAAGCTCAGTTCTGCGTGTCTCATTCTACAACTTCTCAAAGATAAGAAGTGTTAATAAATTATTACAAATCGTGATGAATCATGTAGTGGTCAAAAACGTTTTACAAAGAATTTTTTGACAAATTTGAGTATTGCATCTTGAAATATTACAAAGTCTAATGAATTTTCAATTACTGACTCATTATACTAAATACATCTTTAAATCACTCATTTTCAATCCTATAATTACCTCATGAGTCATGACAATCATGATTTAATGTTTTTGTTTTATTTAAAGTTTTTTTCGACCAATAATCTTTCGTTTCATGTTTGTGAACTAATAGAAATTTTCTAGAACGCTCTTTTGTGCGTTCGTTACATTTTTTTGGCATCGTTATTTGTTAATGGGAGTTCCTGTTCTTTCCATAAAAAAGAGGACTGTTCCCCCGTTAACGACACCCAGGCCTAGGGACAGTTCAAAACATCATATCGAAATAATTTGTTTTAAACACCGCCTAAGAGAAAGGTGCACGGTGTCTCAACGAGCAGTCGTTATAATCAGTGCTACGAACAAAATCTTGATAAAAGTTCATTCTTCTTGCAACAATTCATCCCCCTGTGTTTTTATGTTCAACCATTTCATGAGATACCATAGCTAAAACATTAAATCTTAATTTTTTTGGCGCTTGCTTGTGTTTTTAAATACTTTTCAATGTCCCGGAAATAAATAAGATTTTTGAGTGTCAGGGACTCGACTGTCTCACATTTTTTTTGTTTAACTTAACTTCACAAATTTTTTTGTTGAGAAGGTATTTTGGTATATTGAGTAAGGTCACGTGCACCTGTGTTATAATGAAAGGGAGATTACCCCGGGTGTTAGGGTTCTATGTCTACCTAGATACACAGAATAATGAAAAATTAGCGTCCTTCTACTCGGCTCAAATTGAGGAAACATGGTTCGATTAGAATTTGGTTTCCTTCGGGCTTTAACCTTGCTCATTAAACCAAACACCGGATTAGGGAGGAGAAAAACTTCCCTTTTAGACCAAAACTACTATTCTTAGTGTCAAATCGTCATGTTGTTAATTATAGTCTTTACGGTTTGTTCGAGTAAATTTTGTCCAAACATAAATTTCAACTCTTCCTCCACTTTTATCCTTTACTTTACTTTACTTCTTTGTCCTATCCTTATTGTTTCATACTCCCTACTCATTTCATATCCTAAATTCCCTTATAATATGCATCTCAATCCTACCCTTATTATATATCCATCTCTATCCTACCCTTATTATATCCTCTATCCTACCCTTATTATATCCATCCTACCCTACCCTTATTATATCCAACTCTATCCAACCATTATTATATCCATCTATATCCTACCCTTATTATATATCCATCTCTATCCGACCCATATTATATCCATCTCTATCCTACCCTTATTATATCCATCCTACCCTACCCTTATTATATCCATCTCTATCCAACCATTATTATATCCATCTATATCCTACCCTTAATATATATCCATTTCTATCCGACCCTTATTATATCCATCTCTATCCTACTCTTATTGCATCTATCACTATTCTACCCTTATTATATCTATCTCTATCCTACCCTTATTATATTTAACTTTATCCTATCCTTATTATATATATCTCTATCCTACCCTTATTATATTCAACTTTATCCTACCCCTATTATATCCATCTCTATCCTACCCTTATTTTATTGTTTAAATTGGCGAATAACTAAATAAATGCAGTTCTTCAATTATAAACTGATTAATCTGTATATTCCATATTGATGTAATTACACAAATGCAGCATGCAGTAGAATGCAGAACTGTTCTGCTCAGCTGGTTATACAATTGATACAATACATGCATCTTATTTTAAAAACACAATACGCTTAAAAATTGTGACGTGCGTATTGAAGTTTGAATTAATAATGCTTGTTATTTATGGTCGATTTGTTCTTTTTTTAAACAGTAGGTTGTAAAATAGTAAAAAATCAATAGATGCCATCCATGCTACACTCTTTTTTTGGACACTTGCGTTATCGTCATACTGAGATTTTTCAGTTGTGGTCTGCTTCTTTACAGTTTAATACGCATCAAATGCTGAAAAAGTTACTTGACGTTGCCTGTGCACATCAATACGGGTGTGCACTAGTTCGCCTAATTATGTTGCATAAAACGCGTTGAGTCAACTACATACTGGGTACACCAGACGGGCCGGTACGGTAAAGACTAAAGCGCCATGTATGCCGCAAATTATTCCCAATGTTTAAGACGACCTTTAAGGATCATCTCCAAACTGTCAAGTTTTCTCGGATACCCTGTATTTGACTGGTTATTGAAAGACCGGAATTGGCTAGATCTGTCCTTGCAGTTTGTAAATACTTCAAAACTGCACTCGGTAATTGTGTATTTATCAATTGTAATTCCTGTTCTTCTACATAGATCAACATTTTTCTAAATAAGCAACAAATCCCACTCCATTCACCTTAGCAAAATAAGGTTTTGTTGTACAACAAATTTTCCTTTAACAGTTGATCTATACAGACCGACCTTTCTACTAGGGGGTGAAATTCAAACTGGAATATTTGGTCGCCTTTCTTTTCCCATGTTTACTGAGTCACGCTGATTATTCATGTAAATAAATTGCAGGGAGATGGGTCAAATTTTCAACAGGGATTCAAGGGTATGTGAAAGCATCTTACATACATAGTGGTCTCTAGAATAGTTTAAATCCAAGGAAATTCATATATAATTGTTGTATCTTTCTTCTTTATCTATTTAATTTGTGATAGGCCAGCTTGTTAATTTAACCCTGCAGTTTATAATAAAATTGTCAGGGCTTAGTTCTGACTTCTAAGTTCCTAGTTCAAAGCTGAGAGTTCAGAGCTATTAGTTCTGAGTTCTACGCTTCGTGTTCTGAGTTCTGAGTTCTTAGTTTTGAGCTAAGTTCAAAGTTTTGAGTAAAATTAAACGTCCTGATCGAGCTTAAGTTTGAAGTTCTGAACAAGAAATTTTGAATAAAATCCGCCAACTTTTTTTTTTTGAAATATTAGCCTAGTTATCGGTAAATTTTCAGACATATTTTGATATCTCATTCAGAATCCTTAAAAAATATTGTATTAAACCTTATTTACTCAAATATTTAAAATACAAAACCAAACAAAAATTTTAAAAGAACAATTCCGAAAAATATACATTTAATTGGTGAAAACGGGTTATAAAGTTAAATTTTACTGGACTTTTATGCATCTAGTTTACCGTGACAATATATACAGCATGCTGTACAAGCATGACTATCTGGACATCTAGTTTACCGTGACAATATATACAGCATGCAGTACAAGCATGACTAGCAAGACCTCTAGTTTACCGTGATAAAATCTCCAGAATGCCGTACAAACATGACTAGCTTGACATCTAGTTTACCAGGATAAAATCTCCAGCATGCCGTACAAGCATGACTAGCAGGACATCTAGTTTACCGTGATAAAATCTCCAGCATGCCGTACAAGCAGGACTAGCAGGACATCTAGTTTACCACGATAAAATCTCCAGCATGCCGTACAAACAGGACTAGCTTGACATCTAGTTTGCCGTGATAAAATCTCCAGCATGCCGTACAAGCAGGACTAGCAGGACATCTAGTTTACCACGATAAAATCTCCAGCATGCCGTACAAACAGGACTAGCTTGACATCTAGTTTGCCGTGATAAAATTTCCAGCATGCCCTACAAACATGACTAGCTTGACATCTAGTTTACCGTGATAAAATCTCCCCCATGCCGTACAAACAGGACTAGCTTGACATCTAGTTTACCGTGATAAAATCTCCAGCATGCCGTACAAACATGACTAGCATAATTAAAGCTGTCAGGAAAACTGCAGATTTGATTTTAAAAATAAATACAGTGAAACCCTTAATAATTAATACATCGGAAGAAATTATCAAATGTCGTCTTTACAATTTTTCAATGAGTTTTATACTGTATTACGTAAATTTCAGTATTTGCGAAAATAAATAAATAGTCATGAATATGCGGGAACAGTTTTAAAGTGTTCCATATAATCATTTAATTAAAAAACTAAATATCTGCAACATTCCATTATCAGAAAGAATACGACATTTGATGAATTCTTTCGATGTATTCGTTATTAAGGGTTTCACTGTATTTGTGGTAATTAAAACAACTGTTTATGGTTTTCAAGCGTGTTGTCGATAAGTTACTTAGCAATTGGGCAAACTCCTACATATTTACTTTTAAGTGCATACTCCTATAGTCCCAAGTATCTAATCTCAGGCATCTACCCCCAAATATATACTTCCAAGTATCTTCTTCCATTTATATACTCTCAAGTATATACTCTCCAAGTATATAATTTCAAGTATATACTCTTATAGTTCCAAGTATCTACTCCCAAGCATCTACTTCTAAGTATCTAATCTCAAGCATCTACTCCCAAGTATATAATCCCAAGTAACTTATCCCAAGTATCTACTCCCAAGCATCTGACCCCTAATATCTAATGCCAAGCATCTACTCCCAAGTATCTACTCCCAAGTATCTACTTCCAAATATCTACTATCTATATATAGATGTTAAAAAATCTATTTTAGTTTTTATTGTTTTCGTTAATGTATTTCTCTAATGAACTGCA